CCTTTTCGGTGCTATCTTTTGAATATCTTTCATCATTGACCTTCACAATTGACAATCACGTTCACAACTGACACAGTGCGGTGGTGTAGCGCACGGAAGTGCGCTGATGCATCGCACTTCCCGCACACTGCGCTTAACGACATACATCGTTGCTATGTATATCCAAACCTTTGACACTTCAAACAGCGCAAGGATTTGGTAAATACTGTCGCACATGGAGGTTGCAGAAACCACAACTGATCCTTTCCGGGAGGAACGGACGGTCAAAGATAAGGATTAGGAAGTAGCGATCATTTCCCTCTGCTCTTTCATTACATATATATACATACACACACGCGCGCGCGCGCACGCACACGCACGCACGCGCGCACACGCACGCGCGCACGCACACGCGCGCACGCACACGCGCACACGCACGCGCGCACGCACACGCGCACACGCACGCGCGCACGCACACGCGCACACACACACACACTTCAGTCACGCCCTGACTCTTGAAAACTGAAATTAGTACATTTTCGGAAGCAAAGTCTTCGTGGTACACTACGCCTTTTGCACGAAGTTCCGCGCGTCGTCACTACCACCTGGAGGCCGGCAATCTGCTTGGTTTTTATTATTTTGTGGTACGTGCGTCAAAGAGAATCGTTCCATTCCTCTGTAGCACGACCGCTTGGGGCTTCCCGTATGCTTCCGTGTGGCTCGCGCCAGACGGACAGCACACATTTTTAATTGTTTTTTATCTTCCTCAGAGCATGCTGTGAGGAGGAAACGAGGCTTATTCAGTCGGTCATCTTTTGCAAAAAAATATATTTAAATCAATAGTTCGTTCCGGATATGTCCTCTTCCTTGCGAAAGAGGGCGGGGAAGATGGTTTAGTATCCGTGGAGATGGATATACGATTCATCCCCGTGGTTCCCACCCACCACGGAGCCCAACAAGGTGACACTCCATCCGAGTGCTAGGGTTACCATGGAGATTAGTGAGAAATGACACAGCGCTGTCCCGCTATGGATCCACCTGCTTACCCTTAAGTTCAGTAGTCCGAAGCGATTGATCGGGAGTGGGTTAGATCTCGACTGTCCCTCTAGAAGAGCCCGCGGCCTAAGCAAGTGTGTTGGAAAGAAATGCTCCCCCAAAATACGTAAATGACTTATAACCAGGTGCAGAGCAGAAAGTAACACAAGGAGTAGTTGGAAAAAAAGGTCCCTCAACTGCCAGGATACACATTGCCTCCGACACGGGTCACCATGGGTGGGCGTTCTGCATTCAGGAGGGGGGCAGTGAAATAGAAGGGATTTGGCTGGTCTTGGATAGATAGTAGATGAATTGAAGTGAGGATCTCCAGTTGCGAGATATCAGGAGGAGGGAAATTATACAGCAGATTAAAATCTGGAAGGAAGTGGTTAAGAAGACTCACGCATGGTTACAAGGTAATGGAAAAAAAAGTTGAACCACTTGCATAAAAAAGTCTTTATAGATTACTACTTACGATAATGTACGTATTCACATATTTCAAGTGCTGTTCACAATATTTATTGCCATGCCATGAAATTATTGGAAGTGTACAATGATAGGGCTACCTAGAATTTTGTGTAGGATGGCCTCAATTTTTTTTTAGTTTCGACACTTGTTCTTAAAGTAGAAGGCGAAGCATACCCAAACAGTTTACCAGAAACATAAAAATGGTTTTGATTATTTTATTTTGTGCTTCTAGATAATTTTCCAATCCACAAATACAATGTATCTCATTACTATTTATGTCTTCAACCTTGAATTTCTTGATTAATTGACAACGTTTCTAAAAGCGTATGAAGGCTCTGGCATACAGTAAGTTGCAGGGATTGATAAGGGCAGCTTTGTTTTCTAAAGGCGGGATTTCAGGAGACCCCGAAACCGTTTGCAGCTAGTGCCGAACAGTATCAGATCCATACAGAGCACACATACATCGTCCAGCATATCATAATGCCCAAGCATGTGATACAATGGAAGGTATGGAAGAAACAAGGAAGCAATCAATCTGCTGCAAGACGTGAGACGACTGACAATAGGTGATATATACGCACTCACACACGAGAAAGAGGAAAAGATGGGGGGAGGGGGAGGGAGAGAGAGGGAGGAGAGAGAGAGGGGGAGAGAGAGAGAGGGAGAGAGAGGGGGAGAAAGAGAGGGAGAGAGACAGAGAGGGAGAGAGACGGAGGGGGAGAAAGAGAGGGAGAGAGAGAACATAGAATACAAGAGTTCATTGAATGGACAGAGTTCTTTGAACATTCTGATGTATACAGCTCTTATACTATGTTTTGGAGACACAAGCCAGCATCACAAATTCAAAAGAATTGAGCTATTCCAATCTTGCAGGCGGGATATTAATAATAATGTATTGCATTTAGCTCAAGTAAATATGTAAATAATATGCACACATCTGGCTTGAAGACTATGGGACATTCCACGTTAAATCACACAAATTTAAGTAATATTTGACCTTGATGTCCCAGGTTTGTAACTTTTTTCTGTGAAAAGTATGCAAAAATATGAAAGATGTTTTTCATTGTTTCCCAAACATTGTTTTCGAGATTATATGAATTTTCGTTAAAATGCTCAAATTACTAAAATAATCATTTTTAAATCCTGTTAAAATAGTAACAGAAATTTAATATTTTGCAACTTTAAAGAACAAAAGATGCTCTTTCATTTTATGTATGTAATTCATGAACCATTTTAAAAATCATTTTTGACTTTTTTTTCTTTTTCTTTTTCAAAAAATTCAGTATAAAGCGGCTGGGATATTTATATGGATAAGATTAGGTGATACAATTAATTAAATTGATACTTCTTTTAGTTCACTTTACAGAGAATTTGGTTAATTGATCATTTCGTACAGAAATTAAACTATGAATTTTCTGTGTGCCTTCTACTGTTTTTTTATTATATCATTGTTGCAATCGTCCTCTTTCTAAATATTCAGCATTGCTAAAAATATAAATGATGTTCTTCACCTCATCATCAATCCAATTACAAAACTTCCTGGGTAAATTAATAGGTTCCTGTCAGAATTGAAGGCTAACTTTGATTAAGAATATTGTAATTGCCCCCCCACACTATGTTGTAAGGTCGATTTCCATAAATGTTGCAAAGCCAAGAAATACCACTCAGCATTCACATCAAAGACATCTTTTTGTAAGCATAAATTTGCATTGTTTCATATTACCAGGCACTGACTCTATCCGAAAAATATGCCTGTTATGATCTTCTCCCCCCTACATCACTTATTATTTACTTTTGGTACTGCTTTTTGACTAAATAAATCTAAATCTAAATCTTTAACACTGTCATACACTTACTTCAAAAGTGTTAGGAGTTTATACTGGCAATGGTGAATTGTGTTTCTGTCGTGTTTCAAGCATACAGAATTTTTTATTTTTTATTTTTACATTCATTGCTTTCCCTGAAGTATAGCATGAAAGAATGCAGAGTAGGCAAGTCATTGATTCACAGCAATCAATTACATCTTCATGTAAGAAAGAATAATTTTCTTAGAAACATCACACTGAACAATGAATAAACACAGTGTAAAATTTTATTTTTCTTTCATGAAGAGAGGAGAAGACGGTGTGAAAGCAGTAAAAGAAACAGAAGACGAACTTACTCGGTCACTTTCTTTATTAATTGTTCCAGGTGATACGTTAGAGTGACCAAGATCAGCAGTGCATGTTATTCATCATTTTCACTGCCCAACGTATTAGCGGCTTTAATAAATATGGATGATTTTCACTTTCTTGCAGAAACGTTACTTGACTCGTCACGAGAAGGAATTTTGAAAACTAGTTTTTCTTATAACATAACTTTTTTTTATGTCAAACAGTCAATTTTCAACTTCTAAAGAATGCTGGTTGTAATGTACATTTCTTCTGCAATTACAGTTTTTCATATTACGAAAATGTAAATAATAATAGTATTGACATTTTTGTAAGTATATCTGTGGCTACTAACTTCACAGAACAACACACATGTCCCGTGGATTCCTCTGTTTCCACAACAGACTTGATATATCTGTGAAAGTAGGCTGCTCTGTTTTAGGCAGACCCTAGCAGTGTCAGTTGTTCATAAATAAACTTAATGGTTGCACTTCATCAAAAGACTTCCATTTGATACCGTATGTGTGTTTCTGCGATTCATAGTATGACATTAGTCTCAGGGTTGTATATGCTTGGATGTCATGATGCGTCTTGTCATTGACGCCCCAAGTGGAGTCTGAAGAACAGCATGCACCAGTGAACAAACTTTTTTTTAATGTTATTTATGAGTGTCTCACTTTGAAATTTGGCAAATCTATACAAAATTAGTGCAGAAATACACGAGTATTTTTTACAATTTAAGTAACGTAAAGTAAAAATTTGCATTTTAAAAATTAAAATATATTTTAAATATTTAAATATGTTTACAAAAAATATATTTACATCATATGAAAGAACATCTTTTCAAGTTAAATTTATGTGTAATTTTATTTTTATGTATAAAACTGTATTTGTGCAAAAATATTTAAATATTAGGGTACGCATGATTCCTTGGAAAAATTAAATAGTAATATTTCTGAAAGGGGTAGGATTAGAAAAAAAAAGAAGAAAAAAATATATGTTGCTAAAAAAAGTGATGTTTCATCAGTGTACGATTTGACGTGGAATGACTCCCATATAGAAAAAGATTACTTCTAACAATAACAAATTACATTTCAATGGAATGATTACTCATGAAATAAAAAATTAACAATAATGGAACTACAACACATATCACATTATGTGAACAACTACATCACTATTCAATAAAAAAAAATAGATTGCATCATTAAAGTAAATGATTTTTAGAGAAATTGGGAAGTTTAAAAATTTTCTTAAATGTTTTAGATCAAATCTTGCAAGTTGAAAATAATTATAATTGCGTGATTGATGTTGATCATTTTTCAAAATATTTTTATCTTTTACGGTCAAATTCAATTCTGTACTCACCTGTCCGAGCAAAGTTTCCCATGGCCAGGACCCCAGTGATTTGTAAATCCTCATCATCAGAACCAAGCCATGAAACCATTGCATGAAAAACCTCACCATGACCCTCTGAATATAAAATATTCATACTTTCATCTGTGGAAAAACCAGTGATAAGTGTTAACATACAAATAAAGGAATTTCAGAAATAAATTTCAAAGATATTCCTTAATATGGATTAAATGTCATTTCACACATAGTATTGTCAATTAAAATATGCATTTTATTAATAATTACCATTAAATATGTAATCAAATACTGATCAACACTTTCATTTAATATTTCAGAAGAAATAAGGAGTGTACTATAGAGATAAGAACCTGTGTTTCAAGTTTTTACTTTTTACTTATTTTTTTTATTTTTAATCATTCATTTACATATTTATTTATTTTATTTGGGGGTCCTAGCAAAACCCATAAAAGCAAAAGAAATCCAAATTAAAGGTGCTACAAAACAGTAAACAGATTCTCATACTAGATAATCCCTCTTAATATGAGGTAAGGGATTTCTTTTCGGTTTCGTTCCACTCCCTTACCGAAAGCCTAAGGGACATACCAGAACTCACCACTGTAACTAGCCCTGGGAGGCAGTCCATCTAAAGAAGAGTCAAGAATGTCTATGAAGTGGAGGATCTCTTCACAATTCGATAAAATGGAGGATCTTCGCGCAAGTTGATGAAGTTGAAGATTTTGGGGCTAGTGGATGAAGATCTCCACACCCGAAAGTGAAGATGGGGATTTGCGTTGCATGTCCATCAAATGGAGAGTCTGGGCAAAATTCAGTCAAGTCGAGGATATCCGCACAAGTAGATGAAATGGCAGGTCTTCACACAAAACTATCAATTGAAGGTAGTTTTATCAATTGAAAGTAGAGCATATTTAGAAAATCAAATAGAGAATTCCTTTTAAGTCAATCACGTAAATGTTTCTCAGCATTTTGATCAATTATAGTACATCAAGAAGTCAAAAAAAGATTAGGGATTTGAAGAGCATGATCAATTGGAGAGACATAAGAAAGTCGATAATGATGGATGATCTCAAACAAATTGAGATGGAGTGGGTCTGAAGTCAAGATCAAGAAGAAAATCTCTATGTGGAGATCATCACAAAGATTTGAAGTATGCTGATCTAGAGGAGGAAATAATTTGTAGGAGAAACAAAAATTGAATATTGTTTGATAGGAAGGTGCATGCCATGAAAATTCTCAGTTTAAGCAAAACACAGGCTGCGGCCAAAATGTCTGGCCCTGACTGTTTCTGTATGAAGGTTTGCATGATAAGTTTTCACAGAGAAGAAAAGGTGTAATATCCATATTATATGACTAGAATCCAAAAAATGAAAAAGAAACTTTCATGAACTGATCAAGAGTGTGCAGTAATAAGAAGAGCGAGGGGTAAAGAGAAAATTTAAAAACTAAAGATTAATATTCTTGTTTTAAGAAATTTTAAATGCAAATTTATTGGACAAATCTTTCTAGTGAAGACAATTAGTGATTGGCTGATGCCACTAGCTCAAAATATGTAAAAAACATGCTTCAACAATTGGAGATATGAATTTTATTACAAAAACAAAAGCAGTTTAGTGGGATCTGTATTACAAAAAACAACCAACAACAAACGATATAGGAAGAGCAGTTGACACTGAATTTACAACAAGAAATGATCATCCCAATGTAGTCATAACCAAAAATACAAACATTTTGATGGAAAGTTGCTTCCTCTACCATTGAGGTAAGTAATTTTGTACTATTTTACACTCTGAAATGGAAGAATTCAAAACTTGTATCTTGAAAAGAAATAATATTCCATTAATTCATATTATGTAGAAAAATCTAGAATGAATTACACAAAATGCAATGTTCGTATGCATCATCAGAAAAAAAGTTGAATTTCATCGCTTTAATACAAACATTTGAAGAATAAAAAGAATATCAAGAGTTTTTATGGAAATGTTTAAAAAAATTAACCATTTTAAGAGCATTCTATATGTGTGTGCGAGTATTTCACCTTCTTTGAGGTACAGAGGAAAACATGCTCTTGCATCATGAGCCACAATTAGACTTTAATATTTCCATAAATTTAGAGTGGTACTACAGAATGGCACAGACTTTCCTGTATTAGTTTTCTATTTCCTTTGGTCTTGGTTAGGTATATGAACTTGCCACGTACTCTTGTCAGCTGCCATCTATCGCCGCCTAGATGACATTTTCTTAATTTTTCGGTTTCTTAAATATAGAATGGAAATATTATTTTATGAATATTAGAGGTCAGTAAAACCTAGTAATAAATTGCAATTTTTTTGAAAAATTTGTAGCAGTTTTTTAAGAAAATGACATTTAAGCACTACTGTAAATTTGAAATTTGAAATTTGAAATTTGAATCACTTTCCATAGAAGAATTTTGAGTTTTCAAAAATCTCCATTTGAAGTAATTTGAAGCACCTTAACTCACAAATACAATAGTGTTTACAAACATCTGGAAATGTGCATATTAATAGCATGAGAAATCTTTCAAAAAGATTACATTTGTGATTTTTTGAAAAATACCTTGAAATGATCTACAAGTCATATTAAAACGTGGAAAAAAAAGAAGAGTCATTGGTGTGAATGCAAATTGGCCAAAACTAGATGACGCATAGAAATGAATTCAGTAACACCATGAAAACTGCATTGGTATTTGAATAATAAAATTATTCAAATACATGCTTGTAAGCTAGCGCAACAGTGAAACTTAAGGGTGGAGTTGATTGGTGCTACAACTTTATAAAACATTATGGACTTAGTATGCAAATTAAAACCAAAATATATCAGAAAATGTCACAAGTGTAAAAAGAGAAGAAATTATTTTTACATTGCTTTATTATTTAACACTGAATGAAAACCAGTGTGGAATAAAGTCAAACAGCAAATATGGATGAAACTCCTCCGACATTTGATGTGCTGAGTAACAAAACTGTTGTCACAAAAGGTGCTAAGAAATATAACTATACCAACAATTTGACATGAAAAAAGCACTACCTGTTGTCCTTTCATGTTGCGCTGACGATACATAACTTAAAGGATCATTTTAAAGTGCAAAACAATGCAAAAACCTTCTGAAATAGGTGTTGTTATTCACGAACATGACAAGAGTTGCCTGGACAAGACTGGTATAAAATTCAGAGAGAGAAGGAATGGTGGGAGAGAAGGATGGTGTTTTATTGAAGAAGAGTTCTCTTCTTGTGCTAGATCAGTTGAGCAGTCAAATTATTCACAAACTTTGTGCATATTGTTACAATTAAATAAATAAAAAATACAAATAACATTAAACCTACCTCCAGTTAGCACAAGTGCTATGAGATCACATGCCATCTTCATTAGGTTACGGGCCTCATCATCTTCAACTTGAGGTTTATGCTTCTCCAAAAGTTTGATTAATAATTCACAGAGCCCAGCATTAGCCAAATAAACTTTAACTTGTTCTATTTTAACAAAAAAAAAAAAAATTATTAATTTCACAAAATGTTGAAATGCAATGTCAATGACCCAACAATTTTACTTTATCTTTTTTCTTTTAAAGTACAAAAAAACTGAAAACCAAAATGTGGTTTCATTTCATCTTAAATTTACTTTCAATAAACTAAAAATTAATAATAAGAATAACAAAAACAATAATATTAATGTTAATAACAACAACAACAACAACAGTGATGTCGATATTAGCTCAGCATCCCGAATCGCTGGCAGTCAATTACTTTATGGCAAAACCCTCTTCTCAATTACGCATTACACTCTTTGGCAGCCACCCAAGCCAAGGAATTGCAGCAAATGTTACGTCACATTAAGGATATCGACAAGAAGAAAAAAGAGGGAAAACAGGAGAAGGAAGAGTAGTAAAATGAAAGAAGTAGAACAAAGTAGTGGTCTTCGAGTTTTACAGATAAGTTAGTTTACTTTCATTGCAGTTGATGCTACCTTTCAGTTTTGCGGCACCTCCTTCCCTGCTGACATTTATCAGCACTTAAGGGACTACCAACGCTTCCAACGATAATTACAATTCTCCTGGGAAAAATGTGATGTGCAAAATAATCCTCATCCTTCCCGAAGGTAATGAGATAGCTCTTAAGGCAGGTCCCTCTTGATCATGATGATGATGTATGCCCATCTCGGTCCTGTATCTAGGTCCACAGTAGTGCTTGTTCCATCTAGGTGCTTGTGCCTGTGTTCTGGGTGTACGGAGCCAGTTCCTCGATTACACATATAAATTGGTCACAGAACTCACACATAGTAGAAATTCAGGACAAGGAATTATAAAAGGATTAGAATATTAATGTAATACAAGAGGGATTGGAAATGCCCCAATGCCAAGCACACAACAAAACACCTATGACTCATGCAGATGGACTTACATGATTGACTTTCACACATAGCCTCATTGTCAGCATAAAACGTTACACATACTTGCCCCAAACTCCTGTGTCATCAGGCTAACTTTCTCGTCTGATTTGAACTGGTTTTGTAAATAATATTTATATTAGCAGCTATGATTTTCTAATGGTTCAGTTATGTGCACATTTCTGTTCATAAAATTGTTGGCCACTGGCCACCATTGTGGGCCGAACCAGGCTGTCTATCACTCCATCCGCCTCATCCGTCACTCTCTCCGCCTTGCCTGGCAGTCCATCTGACTGGGAAGTCCTAGGGTTTGAGTCCCGACAGTGTCAGCATTGTCGACACTAGTTACATAGATCTGCAGTCTTGAAAGTCTCGCGTGGACAGATTCTCTGGACAGTCTCTCTGGACGGTCTCTATGCCTGTCTGGGTGATACTGGAACTTTTTCAGACTTCTCTGCGTTAAACAACTTTTAAGTAGCAAGTGGTGCTCAAATAGCACGTATGTTCTCGCCTGCATTTTCACGCTACATTACGTGAATATACTCAAATTTTTGAAAAATTGTACATATTAAAATTCTATCTTTAAAGAACAGATTTCATTAAGGGAAAAATATCCATCTTTAATATTTTACTTGTAGGAAGACACCGTCAATTTTTCAACTTTCAAATTTTTCAAATTTCAACTTTTGCAATATTTCCCACACCGTGTTTTTCTACGAACATGAGAGCTGCGCCATTCTCTAAAATGTCCTTCACACTAACAAAATATTTAATAAAAAATGATAAAGATTCTTTTTTAATCTCTGGAAAATCTCCCAGAGGATTTACGTTAAGTACCTCCCTGCCAAAAGAAATTGAAATATATGTTTCAAATTCCATGGGCCGTACCATCAGCCAGATTGATTGGGGAATATCAATTTTTTAGAAAATCGGCTGATCGGTTTATGAGCTAGCGTTGTTGGCAGACATTTTGCTGTCCTTCGATTTTTCGGTTTCAAGGACACACCAAACAGATTCTGGCTACATCACAAGTTAGAATATTTTTTTTCTAAATTTAGCACACGGATTTATTCACTTTTTCGTTACCGGGGCCCTATAATTAAGGGTTTTTCTGCAGACAATTCGCAGTTTATTCGTGCAACATTACATAACTTTCTCTATACTTTGTTAAAATAATTACGGATTTTCATTAAATTCATATTGCAGCATCAGCTGAATTCAGCCTGTATCATTTTAAATAATCAAACATTTTTTTTAAAGTTTTGAATAAAAAACTATCTTAATGTACCGATCACACATGACTCACAGTAAGTAAGTTATATAGTTATATTCCCTAGGATTGGTAAATATAATAACTAAGAGGCAGATTTTGATGACTTCACCAAAAATGATCAATAACATATTCTGAAAAGGATACTGTTAAAAATGTTTTTAAAATACCCAAAAAGCAAAGAGAAATGGCATAAAATGTTTTATCAAAACAAATTCAGTAAATCAAGATGTTGGATATGTTACTGATGTAATCGCAGTGTCAGATCGAGGGACCCCGAGGAAAAATTAAAATGATGTAAGTGCAGGAAAAATAAAAATGAATAACTCAAGAAAAACTTGTAGAAACTTCTAAAATGTATCAAAAAATAACTGTGCGTTGTGTCCTTAGCCTTTTATTTACGAATAGAAATACTGAATCTCACTGTATTTTAGCCCAGTGGTACATATGGAAAATGTTTTCGAATGTTCTTCAGAGGCGTGTAATGACTCATATTGCTTTCATACTCCGCTTGACCATAGGCCTGACAAGCGGTGCTACGGTGACTTCCACGAATTGGAGTGTGGCCAATGCAAACAGATACAATGTCAACAGAGTAACTTAAGGTCTCTCTAGATGCCAAGCGAGTGATCATGGACCACTGTGACATTTCACGCAATTACAGTGTGCCTTAAACAAAAGAATAGGGCATGGATCGCTGACAGCGCTGTTAAGTGCTTAAAAAGAGAAAAATAATAAGAACAGAAAAAGAAATTAATTAAAAGAAAAAGTAGAAGAGGCTTGAGACATATTTGTGAAATCCTGTCAATGTTCTTCAGTCCTGGACAGTAATGTTTGTATGTAAGCGAATGTTTAATTAATATAAATCGATATCATGTGTTTTTATTTGAATTCTATCTGTTCAAATTAGATCATAGAATGAAAAATATAACATCCTAATCCTTTGTAGCTTTGCAGCTGTGAATTCAATGATTTCAATAACAAATTATTACTATTTTTAATTTAAAAACAAAGAATTCATTAAATAGTACATTTAATATTTTAATTTTGTTAAAAGCATTTTATAATAAATAATTTACCTTGTTAAGTTGTTAAAAATATAATTTATATTATCTTTGTGCTCACACACACATGCTTACGCCCACACACACACAAATTTCCACCTTCCCAAAATTCGTCTCTGGATCCACCCCTGATTATGTAGTAATATAATACTGCAGAGCCATTACAAATAATGTGAGAAAATATGTTGTTCTAGCATCACTAGAAGCAGTGGGAGGGGGGATGCTAGTTCCAATAGGGAGGAAGGCTGCCCTTAGTATTACCATCAAAAACATGTCCATATTGTTTCTGTATTTGACATCAAACCATACAAATTTTGTATTTAAAATAAATATTACTTTCAAAACTTTAATTTAAATTGTTGAATATTACTTTATCTAGTTCAATAAATACCTAAACAACCAATCATAAAGTGAGATATGTTTATTGTTAATTTAGAAACTTCAAAATAATGGCAATAATTTGGGTACAAAAGTATAAAGGAAATTATCTAATCCCAGGCTCAACTCATAACTGGAGCCCCTGGCATACATCTCTGAATGGAGCTTCTTATTCGTGAAATGTAACAAAGCAGTTGTTTCTCTCATGAGCAAAGCCTAAAACAATACTGCCATCTTCATTTGATGCTATTCAGTCGTAAACCAGAACACTAAATACACAATTTTTCTTATGCTCATTTTCAGTTGCATGACTTTACCACTACATTTGCAAGCTTTTCAACCATTATTCTGAAAGGGACATTGAACGCTATAGAAACTAATAGTTGTTTGATTAATTTTATTTTTCTACCTTATATTGTAATTCTCTGCAGACAAGGCTAGAGTGATTAATACTCTCAATAAAAATAGTTGTGACTTGGAAGACTGTTAATAAAGCCTACAATGAAGCCAGAGTAATCAGGCAAACACTCACTAGCTGAAGAAAATATATGGGAATCCATTAGAGACATTTCACACAAAATTTGTTTTCTGTTTATTTGAACCAATTTCTAAATAATTCTATATTCTTCCTTTCTAATGATCTAAAATTAACAACAATGTTTATGGGGAGGGGGGGGGGAAGAAAACTCTTAAAAAAAAGTTACCAAGATCATTAAGTACGATATAGAGTGCGCCCCAAGAAGAAAACATTGAAACTTCAGAAAACAAGCTCTTCATTCAATTTTAAGCAAATTTTGTCTAATTAACTCTTATTGAATTTCAAATGGTTGAGCTGCAAATAAACTCTCAAAACTTGGTTTAAAAAAATACTTTCTATACATAAATGCATTCATACATTTCAGAAACAAAAATACTCCAAGAGATTCTAAATTGTCAATTGGTAGAAAAAGAAATAAATACATTTGTTTAACAAGAAAAATAAATAATTTTAAAAAGAAAAATAATTTTATTATTTATTCAAAATTTTATAAGAAATACATTTTTAAAAAATATCATGCTGCAAATGAGTTTAAATTAAAAAATACATATTTATGAATTAAATCATTCATTTCAAAAAAAATATTTTGATTAAAAATGCAATTTAAATCATTATTAGCCCTGCATCCATGTTTGGTTGTCTTCCCCTACAATTTAAATAAAGGTATTCATGCACTTTCCAACCTGTGTTCAACACAAAGTAGCTGGTTTTTTATTAATTACCAATTTAGTTTGAAAAAATACCCTTTGTGGTAATTTATAATATAACACTTGTAATTTATTTATTTTGCAAAAATCCAAGAACAAGTTTAATTTTTTAACCAGTGGTAAATAGTCACATCATTTTTGTTAAATATAATTTTTTTCTAAATATCAACTACTTCTTGATTTTCTGACTTCTTTTTAATTGTAATAAATAATTTTCATAAAAACATAGCTTTATTTGTCATAACAAAAGGGGATGAATGATAAATAAAATAGGGATAACCATCTGTGGCAGCGCACTGCTTTTAGACTTACTTCATTGCTAAGTTTATTATTAAGTCTTCATGCCATTTCTGCATAGTATTTTACTACTACCAAAATTCATTTTTCCCCCCCTTTTCTCTAAAGAAGTTGCAAATAAAATAATATTTAATGCTGTTATAATACTTACCATTTTCTGCTTGACTGTGAAACAATTCCAAACACATTTCACTGACATCAGGTGACTGTGAAGCACCAAGAACTTGAACAGCAACCTTATACAAATGTTCATCAAGCAGAGCATCTGCAAGATCTCTAGCAGGGCACCTCCTACAAACTAAATAATTTACTCACAAATATTTTTTCAATTCCTGAATCTAATATGAAACCATTAAAACAAGATTAACATACCAGGATCAGCCAATAATCCCAATATCAGCAGAACATGAGTACATGCCTCTTCACCTGACGATGCAGAACCATCTATTTCCAATATCTTACATAAAAGTGAAACGACCCCAAGATCCACAGCCTACATAAAACATGGGATTACTTTTCATTAAATTGAAAGTCTCAAGAATGCCTTTATAACAACAGAAATAAAATATTAATTTTATAATTTTTACTCTATGCTATCCCTTCAAAAAATAATTTTCTAACCTTTTCTTGTGCTTCATCATTCCCACTCAATAAATTCAATAAAAAACCAGCAGAAACACTACGCAGATTTCTACCTTCTTCGCTGGATATTGTCAGTGATTTTTCTAATAAATGTAATAACAGTGGGAGGCAATCAGCATCCAAAATTAACTGGCGACCTATGTCTGAAATTACAATTAATTAGAATAAAACAATGCCTATATAAAGACAGGGCAAAGTCACTGCAATTAATACTGTATAGTAAGGATGTCAAACTGACAGCATATGAGCCACACTGACTGGGTGCATTTTTATAGAACATGGTCATTTTCTTAACACTTTTAAATATAACTGAAGGCAATTGAAAACAGAAATTGTTTTCTAGCAGAAGGACATCATAAACCTATTATTTACATTAAAAAATATTGTTTATTTTTCAATTATGACCAAGCCCATTATGACATATTGCCTAACAGCTACATTTTCATGTACTATTTTTCTAATTTTTTGTTTCTCCATTGAACAACAACAAAAATTCCATTTCAATTTGATTTTAACCTTAAACCAGAGAAATTTAAATTGAAACTATAAAAAACTCAATCATTATGCTCACATGTATTTTACTTTTAAAAAAGCTTGTAGCTAGCTGAAATAAGTTGGACACCCTTGCACAATGAAATTGTTTTCTATCTCTTACCATTCTCATAACAAATATTTCCAAGAGCACGGCATACTTGAATAAGAAGTGAAATGTTATCATTTCTACTTCTTAACAGTTTCATTAACAAAGTGAGCAATTTTGAGTGTACACACATTTCTCGGCCAGAACATGTTTTTGCAAGTTCAGATATAACTTTTGCTGATTTGGTAATGTTAACATCAGATTCTCCTGACATTATGTTTTGCAGATGATCCAAAAGTACAGTGTTTACAGTCCACTCTGTAAAATAAAAGCACCAAAAATGATAAAAACTTGAGCAGGTTTTTATTGTACTATCAGTATAATAAATCGAAAATACCATTTTTTTCCTCTTGAATATTCATTGCTATTGAGTCAAGTAGTTTTGATACATCCTCAGTATTCTTTTCAATAGCTGACGACAGACTTTCAATCAACTTTGGAAGGCCATCGTGTGCCGATTCAGCTACAAAAACAAAAGAAAAATTAATTTCAGATCTCCATTGTTAAAAAATTCTCACATTTATCATTAAATCACTCATATTCACTACTTTCTTAATGTCAAGAAACTGTCACAGTAATAATCCACAATGGGGTTCACAAAAAATTAAATTTAGTCAACTTAAAATTATTATATTATATTATAAAATTATTGTAAACTACATGAAATTAAAAATTTTGCTTCTAATCACAAGTAATAAAATAATTAGTAATTACGTAAAACGATAGACTGCAATCAAGAAAGAATGAGAAATATGATACATTAACCACAAAAACATACCAGCCATCGTTGATGTATTAATATATTTGCTGCTCAATAGCAAATGAAATTACAAAGATAGTTGCGAATAGACGTGAATTATATTTCGTACCCCATAACGGGTCACTTCATTTGTCCACAATTCTCACACCAAAGGACTGCTATGCATCAACTTTCTTGTTACACTGTACAACTTGCGTAGGGTAGTAGGTCTCAGTAGCCGGTATTAGAGTGTACCTGTCACTGACTGTCATCTGTGACACACGCCCGGTCAGACCGCCCCCCCTCCCGGAAAAAGAAAATGTGCCAAATACTACAGAATTTTCTACAGTTCACAACGCAACTTGAAGATGAAATATTTCACATGCTCACTGTGAAAATGCAATATATTATATTTTCTAGAATTTTATTTAATTCTAGAGACGATTATGTCCGGGAATATTTGGAAGGCCGTGGGTTGCCGTGAGCCAATACAGATCGATGGATAATGAACGCGTACGATTGGTTCGGTCCAGAAAATCGATAACGTGTGCCGCCGTATGATCGATTTTTAAGTACTATTCGCGCGACGGTGAGGATATAACCAGATATAACAGGGTTGTGACGTGTGTTAAACTTTAGATAATTTTCTAGTTCTTTGGAGCTGACCGCGTGTGAATGCTGTTTTATTTACGTAAATTCGTGCTGAATAATTAGTGTATGCAGTATTGCGCTGTAAATAATTTTCCCGACAATCCATTGATTCTTCCTGGGACTAAGCTGAAAAATATTGATTTGTTTTTGGATTATTTTAGATTCCACCAGCAGTTTAAGGTTGTTTTTCCTCGGTTTTCCTGTCAGCTGAAGATACAATGGCAATTGCTGCAGCTGAAAATTTTCAACTTAAGTGGCATAGCTATGGAGCCTACATGCATACATCAGTAGCAACTTTGCTCCGTTCTGAATCATTTACTGACATTACACTTGCTACCATTGATGGTCGACAAATCCATGCCCATCGTTTTGTACTCTCTGCTTGTAGCTCTTATCTTCATCAGTTATTGAGAGTTGTTTATCCTACAACAAATGGTAACTTGCCTGTGGTAATAGTATTGCCCTCTGAAATCAGTTACCGCATATTAAAGGTACTCATTGAATATATGTACAGTGGGGAAGCTACAGTCAGTTATGGACAGTTAGATGGCATTTTAAAGGCTGCTCACATCTTGGGAATACGAGGTCTTTGTCGGGAAAGTAATACTGTTGAACGAAGTTCTTCATCTATTTCTTCTCATAAACATACACATAATGAAAGTCAAAATGAGAGAATTGTTAAGCAGAGTCGTGCACCAGTTGAGAACAACGAAAGAGTTGTAGATGATGACAGATCAAGTGCTGTGAGTAATGATGTCTCTCCTCATGAAACATACGAGGATGTTCCTCTCCAATTACGTGATATTACTCAAAACAGTAATCGAAGTTCAGAAGAAGAAGAAAGTCAAAAGAAGGAATCAAGTCGTCAGTCAAGCAGCGTTGAAAATTCTAGTGCAAAATCAGGACCACCGTCTGATGGTTCTGATGCTGTGAATCCAGTCCAATTGGTTGTAAAACAGGAGCCAATAGAATGGGTTGATACAGAGTTAGAAGAACCTGGTGATGATGACCTTGGAGAGCCCATGCACACAGAAATGACAGTGAAGCCAGTAAATAATAAAGCTTCTTTCTCTGTTAGCTTAAGTCTTTAATTTTTTTATTTACTAGGTTTGATAACACGTTCTGTTTCTATGTCATAGGTAAATCCTTAATGTTAATTTGTTTTATGTAAATATTTTTACTCCATAAAAACTTATGACACTATTATATAACAAAACTGAATTTGAGTTTAACCTAAATCATTACATTATCCAAATTTGTTAAGTTTTCAAAGGGTTGGTTTCCATAAATTATTAATGATATTCATTCAGAAGGAGTAATTAAAAAGTAAATTAAGAATCATAGAAGGTACATTTTATGTCATTAGAATGTCAAAATTAAATTAAATGGGCAATAATAAGATTTTGGAATGATATTTAAATTAGTGTTTAATGGTGACGGTACATTAATATTTGTTTTTTTTCTTTTGGGGAAAGAAGGCAAAATATGTGAAAATGCTACAAATTTGTTTTCTGCAGTATACCAAATTGTTGGAGTACACTGTTTTATAAGTTTATACTTAATCATTAAATACATTTTTTAGAACTTTATTTTATTCTATCACATACTGCTTTTTTATAGATCTTATTATTAATTAACGTTTACTCATTTGTTTTTCTTTGCATACAAACATCGTTGTATTATATCTAAATTCACATTTCAGGAAGTTTTACAAACTGTTGCGGAAGGAGAAGAAGAAGATACAACATTATATACACCATTAACATGTGATATTTGTCAAAAGACATTTACTGCTCCTGCAGAATGGGTTCGTCACATTGAGGCACATCCTGAAATATATCAGCAGTCTACAAAGCATAGAGGCAGCAAAAATTCTGAGGTAAAAGCTTTGGTATATATTGAATTTTGACTAACCTTTTTTTTCATTAACAATGAATGTAAGAATTAACACTTTCTTACATCTCAAGTTTGTGTCTATTCTATTCTTTGTGTGTTCTATTCTAGAAACATTTTGCTTTTTGAAAATAAGTTCTTCTAAAACTATTCTTAGAGTAATGATCTCAATGTCTTGTGTTGTATCATTAATTACATTCTGAATGCTGGAATAATTTTAAATTTCATAATTCAAAACTATTTACATTTATGGGTATCTTGTTCTCAGAAAGTTCCTGGTAGTGCAGACCAGGGCACAGATTTTCCTCCCTTACGCTGTGAGCTATGTGAGCTTGTGTTTTCAAGCCCTGGTGATTGGGTACGACATATCCAGAACTCTCACACAGAACAAGAACTTGCTATCAGCAACAACTCGTATCAGCATACAAAAATGAAACGCAGTGGTCGCAAACTTTGTCAAGTGTGTAGTAAAACCTTCCCTTCTTATGCATCAATGATGATTCATAGGCGGACACATACGGGAGAAAGGCCATATATCTGTCCAATATGTTCTAAAGGTTTCAATGTCAAAAGTAACCTGTTGCGGCATCTTCGAACATTACATGACCAGATTGTGAGTCCGTCAACTGTTGATTGAATTTCCAATTCATATCCAAATGTTATGTGGCTAATTCTATCGCTAAACTTATTACTAGTTACAGTAATTTTTAAATTATAACAATGCCCTGGTCCTTTCAAACATGACCGTCCCTTTTCTTACATTTCTGCTGTATGAAGAGAACGTAAAGTCTATCTGTGCCCTTGGCCAACAGTTCATTAAAGTATTTTGAAAGCACTTTCAAATTATAACGTCAACTAGTAGGTATAATTATTTATCTTATGCATTTTGCTTATAAAAATGGCAGTTTTTCCATAAGCATTCCTGTATTATTAAGTAAAAAAGTGTACCAAACAGAATAACTATTAATGACTAGTTGGTTAGCTAGTGCTATTTGTTTATAGTCAGCGTAACATCTTTTGGCTAAGTGAATGTAGATGTGAACAAATTAAGAATTTGTAATATCAATCCCCACTCTGACATTAGTAAAACTGGAATTGGTATTTAAATAAGAGCTTCCCTCATATTCTAGCTTCTATTATCATGTACTGATGTCTAATATAGATGCTGTACTTACAAGAATTTTCCCTATTTCTGCATACTCCCTATGGCTGTGTGTCAGTAATATTCAAATAAATATGGTATTCTTGAATATCGAATGTTACATGTGAATTCAGAACAGGAAGGTGTACTTTACTTCTTGATGTGTACAAATAGTTTTGATCTGTCATTTTTAATCTGTATAATTCATTGACTGTTCTAAGAACATACCTTCCAGAAGTGTTGTGATGTGTGATTCTTGTAGTGAAATGTCTCCTTGTGAAAACTTAAGTAAACGGAAAGACTGACTAATGATCATGGAAAAAAAAACATCTATGTCTGAAAAATATATGTATGCTCATTGTGAACACAATTAAAATTGAAGTGTTCTATAGTTGGCACTTAAGTTATAATAAAATATGAAGCTTCCATAACATCCTTTGTGGTTGCTCCAATAACAAACTAACAAAAAAAAACATTGAAATTTCCTTACCTCTTCCGCAAACAATAAAATTTAATATTAAATTTACCGAAATTTTCCTTTTTTAAATCTGAGTTTATTTTAATTATACTTATCTCATGAGATCTGAAAGTAGAAGCAACATCTTCAGTTAAAGATTCTATTTTTGTAAGATTATATCTCAAACTTTTAAATGAACATAACATAGAAGAGTGGAATATCAGCAAAATCTTCATCAAGGAAGTTTAAAATTAAAAACTTGGAGGATGAGGATGTTGTGTTAAAAATCTGAATGAAAAAGTAAGATTATATCAGTCATTTCTAATTGATGCCGATAGGCTTTGTTTGGTCACAAGGAATCCCATCCTACTTTTGAGAACATCTTTGAATATAATATACTCTTCTCAGTGCTGGCAATTACAGAAGTGCAAAGAACTAAAAATATAATTCAGTTTTTACTGTTTCAACATTCAAAATGGGGTCCTTAATAGCATTTTAAAGAGACAGCGTCATGAGCAAAACAAATTCGCACATACGATTGTTCCCTTATATTTTAAGTGACCATGCTTAAAGGTTAATTGACTACACCTAATGTACATTGCAATATTTGGTCAACGCAAATTGTCGACCTGCGGCTTCACAAAATGAAACTGGTGAAAGCATCACTTGAAACCGCGCTCTACAAAAAATTTTATTTGATTTTTTAATGTACAAATATTTCGGCTGCACAATGCTGTTGGCATGAGCCGAGATATTAAGGAATGGAACTATAGGGGACTATCATTTATTGTGTGTAGCTCTCTAAAGCACGAGACATTCTCTCGCACTGAATAATTATTTGAAGAGTTGTTAATTTCCATGTAAGTTTGGTACGTGTTCAGCGATCTTTGCTACGTCGCTGCATAGCGTGGTTACAATTTATAACAATGCATTTAAATTAAATTTAATAGATTACGTTATTAATATACACAAAACATTTGACACTATTACAGATAGGCTACTTCAAGCAATATTTGCCTCCCTCGACAGTTCCACTGAAAACGTGGAGAAATTACGTTATACCCAGCCCCGTTGGCGTGACGCGGCAGTCGGTTTGAATTTCGCGGCCGGAAATAACTAAACTCCATTTTTCACGACTTTTTTTCCGGATCTCATTCTTTATGAATGTCAGCATAGAATCTGAGGATTTATTTTGTAAAGGATCGACTCCAGTCACAGAGAACTTAGGATACAGATATATTATACTCGTAGATCACTGGTCCCGTTTCACTTACATTACAAATAAGCGAACGAATACTCGGTTATAGTGATCGTAGGAAATACGTCCTGGAAAGGAAAATGTCGCCTCAGTGCCACAGATCCCAACACTAGGTAGCTTGGAAAAAATGTCGTTGGCCGATCGTCTCCGCTGAGGTGAAAATAACGGACCTGGAATGGGGACCTTATTGATGGATGATCTTACGCCATCCAGTTTCACTACGGAAACGAATACTCGGCTGCAACTGGCAGCGGCGCGCGATTGATTGCTTATGGGTGTTATATTCCGCAGGACAACGCCCGTTGTATGAGACAGCACGATGGAAAGATATGGGTCGTTTACTCCGACTCACCGATTTTTGTTCGTTGTGCACAGCACCTGTTTACGTCACGAACTACGTAGCCACAGTACGGACATTTCGTTTGAGTAGGCAGACCAGACGCTGGCCGCCTCGTTGCACGAACCAAAAATACCACAAAGTTGTAAAAGATGCAATATTGAAAAGAAATGCTTTATATAGAGTAAAATCTGTCTAAAGCAAAATCGATCGGTACAAAAAAAGAAGTTCCGTATTAGGAAGATTTCCGTTTAATGCAGGCATTTAACACTTGTGATGTGTTTCTGAAATTAGTAAATAAATGTAAGTAGTTGAAGTAAAAATTACATGATTTTATTATGATCATTAAAATCGATTTATATATAACGTATTTGTGGAAGAAATCAATAAATTAATATTCTTTATTGACAGCTGAGTTTCTCTTGCTTCCATGAATGAGATATTTTGTTAATCTATTTTAATGTCTTTCGCGGGCCACTAAGCTCCAACATTTTGATCCTAGCAGGACGGTCATACTTGAGATTACGGGATAGGGGTTGTACTCTCCCAAAACGATGAGCTAGGGCAGGATCACCCTTTCTATCCAAAACTGGATGTACATCAATGCAGATATGCGCAAACTGAAAAAGAGACCATAGTTATTTTCGGGGAAAGAAAATTTAATGAGCACCTGTACGGCCACTAATTTATCATAATTACTTATCACAAGCAGATAGAGCCTTTCCACCCAGAAAATAAGATTCCAGACTACATGCTGCGTAAGCACAGGCTGCACGCTGCAGAGGTGGGGCAGTTTTTAACAGATAACAACTACAGTACTTGTTTCAGAATAACAGTGCAGCATGGGAACGAGGATGCTTTATCCAGACTTCCAGTGGGCCCACACAGCAAGTTCGGCGGACAGAAAATGGAATGCCTACAAATCTACCAGTAGCAAGAGGAAATTGAGGAATCGTTTATCGGTGGATCAGCGCAAGATTGCAGCACAGACTGATACCGACCGGAGCTGGCAAGGATAAGAAGCTGCAAAGTCTGAGAAGAGTTAAGAAGGCAGAACGTTTTTTACACACATTTAAGACAGCCATTAATAAGGCTAAATTGGCTACAGGGTTCAGAAAGGAAACGGTTTAATCAGAAGGCACCAAGAACAGTTGAAGCACCATTTTTTGGTACAGGGGTTAGACAATACCCCATCAAACAGCAGTACTGATTGACCTTATTGGCAAGGAGGCGGAGGGGATACCCGGGTCAGGAGATTAGCCTGTCCGGTCAACAGTTGGTTTTCGAGGCGGTGAACCAACAAGATGCACCTCAACAACCAGAACAACAGCTGGTGGACAACAACAACCAGACCAGAAGATGGAGATAGTGCATCCAGGACATCAGCCAATGGCCCATGAGGCGCAGCAACTACAGAAACTGACAGAGGAGTCACCGCCCATTGGAGTACGTCCAAGGAGGCGTAGCAGCAAATTGCGGGCACGGGGAGTGTCGACACACCAGCCGGAACTTACACTGTGCGGGGCAAATGAGATGCAGCCCACTCTGGCTGCCCCGGAGACGCAGGAGCAGGACGAACGGCGGCGCCCCGTACCGAAGAACCGGCCCGAGTCAGGGAGCAGCAACCAGAAGCCCCACCCCTACCTTTCCCACCGAAGACGCGGGAAACGTATTGACTCGCCCAAAGGACTCGGGAGGTATATAAGGAGCCGAGCACTTTTAATATACTCCACTTTGCTTTATGTTAACTAATAAGAGCCCAAAGAGGACTGTATAAATTAGTTTTAAGCTAGATTAAATTAGTATTTTAAGCCCTCCGCAAGCTTCTGAAGCCTCACCCGCTGAAGTAAAAGAAAAATGTATTTCCCAGCAATGAATAAATTCCCGCTTCTCCAGGGTAACTGGAGAGGGAAAATGGGCGGGGGGGGGCGAGCATTCTTCTGTCGCGGAGCAGGCCACACCGGAGCTCGCTAGCAGGCAAGAAGCCCCGCATCGCTGGTCCGCCCTAAGACTGGGCCGCCGACTCCCCCCGTCGCCGCTGCTGCTGCAACGCGCTCCCAGGACCTACGGAGCAGCTTTTTACAAATACGAAATATAAATATTTTCACCAGTCCCTCTCGGGCTTCCTCGCTTCAAAATAATAAGCGATAAACTTTTTGAGATACACCGCCCTCATTGGGGCATTTTGTATGTATAAACACTATTTGTTTTTATTTCACGAGTGGAATAGGCAATGAAATGTTTTAGGAACAATGCAGGAGCGGTTGTATCACCCCGACCGGAAGAATTTAATACACGTAGTATAGAGAAAGTTATTTAAATCTGCGGAAAATCGATTTCCACGGAAATCCATGTTTTGGGGTTCCCAGATGCAGAAAAAAAATGTTTCCAAATATTTTCTTTAAATTTCTTGTAAGAATATATTTACACGCATTTATAAATGTGGCATAGGTCCGATATTCACCGTCAACGCCAAATCTTCGGAAATTTTAGAAGTATGAATTTTTCCGGCATCTTCCAATTACAAAATTTAAGATAGCGATTTTTCCTTCAAATAAAATTTGTTCTCCATAGTGTGTTCTTCCATTAAGGTCATGTCATGTTTTTTCTGTCGTCTTCGCGCAATACTGCGTGTAAGATATTTTAAAAAAAATACAAATACAAGATTTTCTAAGACAAGTAAAATACACTTTTAAAGATGCTATAGATCCCATTTTTTACTGTTAATTCTCAATTTTCTATAATTGCAAAAGTGTGAATGTTCTTCAGTGTCTTCCTATAACAAAATTGAAGATAATTTTATTATTAATTATATATTAAAATTTTATCTCCATTATTTATGCTTTCGTTGTCAAGTGCTTTTTTTTTTCTTTTTTTTTTCTCCCTCAATTTAGTAGGTTTTGAGCAATATGTGCAATTTAAAAAATGACAAGATTTTCTCCAAAACCCCTCCAAATTCTTTCTTTAAAAGTTCGATCGAGAGAGTTATATATACTCTATGACAAAAACTGTTTTCCCCTCTTTTTCTCAAAAAATTAATTTTTATGACTAGTCTCTCATGGCAATATTTACATTATTTCTTCAGACTATTGCAATTACGAGTATATGAGAATGATGTCATGAAGTTTCCTGAAAACTCAAAACATTTGTGAAAATGAGCATAAACCCAACATTTTCAGGAACTCACATCCCAATTCTTCACAATCTGCTTCAAATTTCTTCTACAAACTTTTGATACAGATATTGTGAATTGTACTGCTTTAGATATAAAAGTAATTCTGAATATTTTTTTTTTCCTTCAAAAATTACACAAATGTAATTCTTTTTTAAATATCTCTCCTAAAACACTCTTAATATGCACATTTCCAGCAATTGATAACATTATTGCATTGTAGTGTGGAAGTGCTTGAAACTACTTCCAATAAGGTTTTTTGGAAATTCATAAGATTACTGTCAAAAACCTTAAATTTTGCATTTACAGTAACCATTAATAGTCATTTTCTCATAAACGGCTCCAAATTGATCAATTACAATTTCCTTAAATGACAAGATTTTGTCCTTCTATAACATTCTTAAAGTAATATTTCAGTTCTATTATATCGGAATATTGAGAAAATTTCAAAACAATGTACTCTGGGCATATATATGTATGGCAACTGGCTAGAGAATATGGCTAGTCCAGGCCAAATATATTAGAAAACTAGTATGAGAAAGCCTGTGCCATTCTTCAGCACCACTAGTTTCTTTATTCAGTGCTATTAATTCCACAGCCTTTCTCTTTTTCTGCTCTCTCTCTCTCATAGTCTTCCATTTCCTGTTGCTTTTGTTCAATAGCATTTTTGTTTGACTCTGGCCCCACGAACATAGCAATGAATATCACTATTGACTATGATGTCATAGAGTATTGTGCAAGTTTATGATATAAAATGACTTAACATACTTATTTAAAAATGATGCTTATAATTAATAAAATTTCTTTTAATTAATTCCGTAAAATGGAAATAACTGTTGACTGGAATTCCTCATAAACAATTTTTCCCTATTTTTCTGGAATTGAAATTCAGATAGTGGTCACCCTGTATACCCTCACACATTTATAACTAGCACACAAATGAAATAAGTCAGTCATCAACTCTGAAAAAGTAAGTTCAATTCATAATGAACGTTCCATAGATGCTGCTCGCTAAATGGCTGTGCACTTGCATATCTACTGCCAGTTACCTAGAAATAGAATTTTCCTTCAGATCTCTACATCACATTCTGAACTGCATAATCTGGTTCTACATTCATCATCTTGGACATTTTGTACTGTCTGGCACACTTTGATGGCAAAACAAGAGTAGTCAACAGGACAGCTGCATGAAGTGGTCTTTGGATCCTGACAATTCTGAAAGTTTTCGAGGATAGATAGGTGAGGAAGAGTGTTAACAAATTAAAAAACCCGGTGAATATCTTAATATTTTTTTAATTTTTTGGATTATGAAATAATGATGTTCTAAAAGGAAAATAAGTGAAAAGTAGGGCAGAAGTCCTGATTTCTATTAAAATATTGGCATTATCAGATTTATGAAATTTCCTGATTTTCTCTCGTTTTTCAGAGTGGCCATCCTTTTTAATGAGGTTTTATTGGGAAGCGATATAATCCACAGTTTTACTGATGTTCCCAAATGCTGTATTGATACTAATATAATGTAATGGCAGGATCAAAAACATTAATAAAACTGCAGGCATGTAAAAAATATGTTGTAATGACAAAACTGCTGCTATACAGAATAGTTAACACATTATACAAAACCATTGCATTAAAAACATCGTACATCTTCACTGACAAGTTCAGCACACCAAGCATTTAATTCTCATCATCTTCAATTTTGGGAGCCAAATAATATCTTATGTGACCCATATCTCCAATCTTGTATTCAACAACAAGAGGAACATCAGAAGACATAGAAAGTTGAACCTGAAAAACAATTTAATGAAATATATGCATTTTTATAAATCTGACATTTACTATGGCCAACCAATGTACCATATTTACTCAATTATAAGCCGACCCCAAGAAATAATGAAGGAAAAAAAAATAATAATAGTAGTAATAATAATGAACCCTAAGAAATACATTTGACGCTTAAGGCACCCAGACCGCTGATTTCAATATATTTTAGAGATCATTGACTCAGATGCAGTCATCGAACAATTCAGATTCCTCACTTGACTCTTATCCATGAAAAGTCATCTGAAATGAAATCGCTGCTCTCAGGGGCATTTGAGCACTTTTTAAAATCTGTTGCAACTACTTCTAGGCATAATCTATTCAAGCACACACTTGCAATAGACTAGCCAGTTCAACGTGCCACCTAAGCATGAGAATTCTGCCTTTTTTTTGGAAAGGCAGTCTGAGTACATTTTCTTCAACATATCCTTGAATGGTTTGTCAATGCACACATCCAGGTGTTGAAGTATTGACGTTAGTTCCCCCTGGAATAATTGCCAAGTTGGTTCTCTGATCTTTCAACTCTTCACTGCCTCTGTATTGGGGGCTGCATAAGAGTCCAAAACCAGGAGGCTACGTAACCGCAACAGAGCGCCAGGCAACAATGCCACACCAACTGAACCCATTGTAACATCATGACTTCGGTAAAGAACCCTTTTTCCATTTGCATGTGCATGTGCAATAACGCTCTTAGGAAATTCCTGATTTTGGGAGGGTCTCGGGTTTGAACACAACAAACGGAGGTAGTTGATATACATCCTACAGTGTTGGCTGTGTGGCAGACATAACAGATGTCGGATGTCAACTTCATTTTAACAACACAATGACTGATTCTAAGCAAGGGTCAATTTTTTTAACTACAAAAGAAGAGGAAAAAAAGGTCGGCTTACTATCAGGTAAATGCGGTATAAGTTTAATACATCATACATACCACCGGAGAAAGTGATGTAGCTTTTGTGAAAGAATTTAAGTATCTTGATGCAAATGTAAGTGTTACTGGCTCCTGCATTTCAATGGTTACAGCTTCTTCTTCCTTATCAACATTTGCAGTTTGGGCAATTTTGACATTTGCTACAATAAATAGATTGTTTAAATTTATTGTCAAATTTACAAAACATTACTTGCACTAAAAAAAGTTCAAATAAAACAAACCTGAGCCAATATCTCCAGCTGTAGAGAACTTCACACCTTCCTTGGAACAAGCAATCACAACTGATTCTCCAAACTGACTTAAATCTCTGCAGATTCGAGCAAATTCACCAGCTGGCATTTTGATGACACACGAATAATCAGTCTCCTGAAAATTAAACAATAATTTTCATACATTAACTGAGAAGACAAAATTTACCAAGACACCATTCTTATGAGTTATAAATCTTCGATGACAAGCTCTCAATTACATTATTACTGTTATACTAGTAGCTAGCTTAGTGTGGCACCCCAGAGAGTATGTTCATGTTTAAAGTTTTATTTAGACCGCACATTCACAATAAAAATTAATTTCAAACAGATGCCTGGCTCATCCATTTTCTTGCTAAGAAAGTAGCATGAAAAAGTACTGATAAAATATACTAGCTTATTCCTTTATTTCATTACAAAATTAGGTATAATCGTGTCAGCTAAGTTAAGTCAACAATTTATCTAAGGGCAGGAGAAAAAAATATCACAATGAAGTAATTTACAGTGCTCCATCAATCTTCTTGTACGTCCATTGAAACCATCAAATACATTTTCCTGGAACTCTTCCAGAATACCTTACACGGAACTACCTAAAAATTGTGTGTCGCCCAAAATGCTTAAAAAGCACTCAAGTTCAAGGGATCACAACACCAGTTAGATTGATAACGAAATATCACCTTCAGTGAAAATCAGGTGGAGAGACATTGCTCTCAATTGATTTTTCAGTATCAGAGTCCCACAATAAATGGATTACTACACAGTTTGTTAGAGGAATTAATTCACTATACATAATAGGACCAGGCCTGGTTTAATATCAGTTACCAGTTACCCTGAGTTTTCCTGTCAAAAATTTGCAATTTTTTTCCCTGCAGCATTACACTGTGTAAGCAGTAGCAATGAAGTAAAAACGGAGAAAAGCTTAAAATTATCAGCAGGTTGAAAAATAATTATTCTGAACATGGCAACTGCAGTCTCAAGTCAATGAAAAAAAAAGTATTTAAGTTACAAATCGGTTCAGCATTTCGTGAGAAACTGCCGACCACTGCTGGGCAGATGTCTGAAGGAACTTGACGAGTGGTGACTGGGTAAATGTCAGATGACTGTGGTTGGTCAGCCAATTGTAGAGGACCACGTAAGACTTTTGAAGAAACGTACGAAAGTGATTTGGACACAAATAGTAGCTGAAAAAACTGCAGCAAAACCTTATAGATAGCCGAGATAAGGAACCTAACTAATATGAGAAAGTGTCATTCTGTTCTACTTATGAAGAATTTCCATACACACAAACAATAGCATTACACCTTACTTAAAAAAAATAAAAAAAATTAATAGAATTTTTTTATTGAAAATGTTTCCAAGAATAAAGGAATAAAAATATTAAATTTTAAAAACCCCTTTTCACTGTGAGTAATAGTTTATGTGGATAGGGTTATTCATTAAAAACAATGTTTATTTTACAGAATCATAGTTCAAAACATACCTGAAATTGCATCTAGATCATTCTCACTCTTTAGCAGAATGTTCAAAATGGATAAGGCTTGAGAAAGTTTATCACTAAAGAACAAAAAATTATTGCAAAGGAAGAAGTAAAATTGTGTGTGTATGTATTTATAGAGTAGTAGCAGCAGCATAGGCAATGATAGATCCCTGAGGGAGGAAAAAGGGAGCATAACCTCCACCAACTCTCACTATGCAAAAAGACAATGATCATAAACATATTTGTTAATTTCCAATAGTAATGCATGGGGCATACGAAACATAAGCATGTGGTTGAAATTACTTCTGCTGCCCCTTCATCTGCTCATCCTTGATTCTAAGTACGCAGTTAGCAAGCAGTACAAGGGGGAGGGGGAGGGGGAAGTTAGACAATATTCACTAAGGTCTCGTAGTCATAGAAGTGCATTGCATTGCATTGTAAGAAATCAGATTCCAGTAACATATTGTGAACTTGCAGCTGGAATGATACCTTTAGATGTATTAATATCTTAAAATGTAACAATGTAGGTAATAAGAGGCAAAATGTGTAAAATTTTGTAATTATACCAAAGCTTGTGAAATAAAAATGGTTCTAATTTATTCAAAATATTTTTATCCTAAAACATATTAATGAATGTAGATACCTTGTCCCTTTAAAACAATTTATACGAAAATTAGATCCCTATTTTTCACTATAAAAACTGGTTCACTACCAAAAGAATTCTACACCACAACTTTCTCAGAACAGTATGCTGTAAAGGCGAGACCTGCAGCCATTACAAGTAATCCATAATAGTTTGCATCACTGCCTTGTGTGGGACGAGTGATAAGTAATGTTAGGATTAGAAATTAGAAATGTGGTAATGATACCTTTCACTTATGTAAAAGGAACTGAATTCACTTTTTAATGTCTCTTTACATGGAAATTAAGAACCTTGAGAAATTTCAGCCAAAAACCATTAAGAATTCAGACCATACAAAGCAATCTGACATGAGTATCCAAAATCACTTTTGATAATAAATATATGTACGATACTCTATCTCAATGACAATTTGACAGTCACATAAATAAATATGGAAACACGGTGTTCACATTTTTTAATTATATGTGGAAGCAGCAACAAGCTGAAAGACATCTCTCATACCAATTGTTGATACTTCATTAGTCCTTATTTTAGAAAACTAATTTTGAAAAAAGTTATAATACATTAATCATTTGCACTAGAAAATCAATTTCTTTGATAATATCTAGACAGGATTTGAATGACACCAAAGTGTTTTTCTCAACACAATCCACACATTGCACTACATTGGTTCATAATCCGAATAGTGATGTGCGCTTGTGGTCCAGATTTCTTTCTCTCCTTTATCAGCTTAGCCAAATGCCCTCATAGAGGACAGTCTATGTGATTTAAAATTGCCTCAAAGGAACACGGCTGATGTATATGCTAGCTGTCATAGTTTAACACCAATGTTCAGTGGAACAAAGGCATAAATAACGCTGATCTTTATCCAAGAACAAATTTCAGATAGACTGGTGTATATTTAGGTTCCAAAAGCACCTGTCACCATGGCTGTCATATTTTAAGACAATTTTTCATTAGAACAGTACTTTCTTTGTGCGGACAATCCATGTCATAGTAGTCAGACTGTACGCCTTCTACCAATGATGCCAGGGTTTGATCCCAGGGGGTTCCGATGTGTAATTTGTGGTGGACGAGGGAGGTCCGCACCAGGTTTTCCCTGCCAATATGCATTCCATCGAATCACTCCATAAATCATTCCCTACCCTATCATTAACTGTCATTTTACTAAGGATCACAGCAAGGTCTAGCCCATAACCGAGGAACCAGGTGAGAAGGGCCGCAGCTACTTTAGTGGGTTATCAACAGGAAGGGTCACATCCTGATGAACTATAGCAGAAATGATGAAGTTGGAAATACTCATCCCAAGAGCCCACGTTTAAAAGCTAAAAATTAATGTTGTCTAAAGGCTGTAATGACAGCAAGGCCAGAGGTACAGCAATCTTAAAATCATGACAGTAAAAATTTAGTACACATCTTTTTTCAACACAAAATTCATGGTTCAAAGACACTTACAAAGAGCGATTGCTCTCCTCCTTTCTTTATAGATGACCATTCCAACACACATCCTCACTTTTACATAAAAACACACCCAACTACCTTCCGCACGAAACAAATGTTATACAACTTAGGGTGAAATACTCACAGGAATTCCAAGATGCTCTTGATCCAAATTCATCAGTTTCATTTCATAATCTGATACTTTCTCTTGGTTTGGAGATTCAAACACAAAAGTTACAGTGTCAGCATTATCTTGGGCCTTCATTGTAACAACATCGTCATTACCAGCGCATTTAAGGATCTTGGTCATACTGCAAAGTAGCAATGAACAAAAACCTCATCTTCAGGTCATGGTAGCAAATTGAAACCCTAACTATATGGCGACCAACAAATGTCATTCATTCTCTCAGTTTGGTAGAAAGTGGTTTGTATTAGAACATGCAGAAGCACTATTACAATCCAAAATATAAATAAGAAATCGAATATTAACACAAAACATTTCCCCATCTCCAAACATTCATAAACTTTCATTCCACACGTTAACAATCTACACTAAAAGTGCTAATGTACACGTACCTGCCTAGATTCATTCCCATTGAAATATTTCTATCACACCTGTATTTATCAAATCCATCACTTCGCATGTTCATTGATACCAAGCTAACGTGGGAGTTGTCCATTGCTTGAAGCTGTATTCCAGAATCGGAACAATCAAATGTGGCTTCATTTAATAATTCCTTTATAGCCTCCAACACTTTCTTTAAAATTGAACTCTGAACTAGGCGTGCTTCGAACATTTTGTTTCAATAAATAACACGAAATAAGGAATGCTTAATTTGTCCAATATCACACTCCTAATTCAATGACAAATAAGGAGATTATCCACAACCAATTTCCACAACTTCAATCCACAGTACACTAAAGAAAGAATCGTAACACTGCCTCCACCCGCGTTGGCTCTTTGGTCTCAATAGCCCAACACGGAGCAAAATGCGCGGGAATCTGACATCCGCAGCAAAAAGACGAGGGAAAACATCAGAGGCCAAAGTCACTCTGATTGGCCAGAAGTAAATTTCGCGCCACCAAATATCCATAAATCGCGAACAAATATACGATTTTCTTAATGTTATATTTCTGTAAGAAGCATTCTTAAAAAAAATTCATCGTTTCCAAGAGCGAAAATAATTTACTTACTTTTTAAATTACATATAAATCACATAGCATTGTTCCACGGTTCCATGGAACGCAAATGGAAAATGATATCAATAACAATATTTCATCACTTTAAATCCAACATACCGGCAAATGCATAAAACATCGGGGAAAAGTAATTCCGATTTTTAAAGATGATATTTTAATAAGGTTCCTACTGCTGTTCTCTCACTATTTTGCCATTACATGCTATAGACATGAAGGAATATATATTGTATAGTCCTCCATGCTATAGGCGTACATGTATACATATACTTGGGTTAGCCGAACTACCGCGAATTTAGGCGTATATACTTGGGTTTTTATTTCTTGGTGCGCAAGGTCTTGCGTTCACGATGGAATATCTCACGGTATTTTACATCTTTCTCGGTCGTGCCGTTAGATGTCGCCAGCGTTGCGGCCATTGATATGGCCGTGATTTTGCGACATCAGCGATATATATTCTCTGACATCAGCAGCACAGCTAGATATTCCATGGTGAAGGCAAGGCCTTGCGCGCCAAAAAATAAAAAACCCAAGTATAGTACGCCTAAATTCGCGGTAGTTCGGCTGTTCGGCTCTGTGATCTATCGTACTCACTGGCTGCCGAGTGTCACTGTGACACTGTCACAGCGAGATTCATGATCTGCCCGTGACACGGTGAAAGTCATTTGATTCATGCCGTGCCTATGATCAATCCGTTCCTGTGACTTACGGTCATAACTGAGCTGCAGAGAACTCGGCTTCAGCCAATGAACTTTAGCGGGCGTCACAACTTTAGCGGGAATTGCAAATGCAGCCAGATCTCAAATGTTGCGTGTCAATGAAGCAGATATATCGCGTTTTTTTTAAAAAAAATCGTATCTTAAAGATTTTTTATTTTTTCAAAAACTCTATTGTTCCCATACGTATTGTTCCTATACGTGTTTGTCAATCGAGAAATTCAGATAATTTGCGTCGCCTTTACTGTGTATAAGATTAGAAGATGAAAAATAATATTTATTTCTGCAGTGACATATAAACATTTCCGACCTTCTTTCTGTTTAAAATGTGAATTTCCGTAATTAATGCTTCATTTATTTTTCTAATTATTGCAAAGATGTAAATGCGGGGTTGTTATTGGTCCTTTTTCTTAAAGCGAAAGCGGTAGTTGATACTTTCTTTAAAGTTCCCGAATGTACTCCTATTTCAGAAATAAGATTACATTACCATTATATAAACAACACGATAAGCATACTAATAATTTATCATGTTCACTTTGTAGCACATTCAATATTCCTCACTGGCACTGCGCGTCTACATTGCCGCATGGCGGCCAGCAACGTCTGGTATTTCCTGGTCTGGGCTTGGCTTTTCAAACAAAGTGCCAATTGCGTGCTCACGTGGTTTGTGAAGTATCTTATACTGCGCAGAACGAGCAAATACTGGTGCGAAGGAGCAACACATCCCTGTCCTTCCATCATGGTGAAACCATAGATAGGGTTACCATACTTCCATTATGGCAACTAATGGTGATACAACACTACATACTTTCTCGCGTTATTGGAAACAGCTACGTAATATTAAAATATTTCATTTTCTGGGATACTAACACCTCAGCTATTATCTGAAAACATCCAATTCAACAAAGCGCCTGTCATGAATATCTGTAATCATTTTGATAGTGAGGAGCAGATCCTCTTACTTTGACAAATGAAACAAACAGGAATACATTTAACAGATACAGTATTCCCAGCAAATGATACAGAAGCGAACAATGTACTGTTGCCAGCGTAGCGTTGGCAAATTTATGTGCATTCGCTTGGCGAATTAGTCATAGTGCATCATACACAGTTGCACTCTAATACTAACAAACTAATTAAATTACTAATTTTCTAGAATTTGTAATATTAAGTTTAGATTGAGATTTATTTAGACCAAAAACAGCAAAAAACTGTACGTGACGAATCGGGGAGAAGACAATCTGCGCACGTTTTCTTGAGTTCCAGAGTCCCTTCCCATCATTTTAACTATAAATAGTTGAAAAATGAATAAATGTTAAAAACAAAATTAAAATAATATTTTTTTAAAAAAATGCGCGACTAGCGACATTTGAAAAACAAGACATTATCGTTCCCAAGTTATAGAAAACCTATTTGCAACGGTAAACGAACCGCAGATTTAATTTTCTGCATTACTAACAAAATAGTAACTCGCCCTTACCTATACTCCTACCATTATAAGCAAAAGGGGAGTACAACAAAACGTGCGCATAGTGAAGCTACATTTACGTTCAAAAGGAAAACAAGGGGCCATCTCAGCATTTGTTCAATGTATCAGGAAAACTGGACAAAAACCTGATCGAGATGGGGGTCATTGACCCGGGAGCTGCAGTACATTATTTGTTAAAAACATGTTAAGTCTTTTAAAAAAATTATACAATACGAATGTAAACTAATTCACTACATATCACTGTTTTGTTAAACATTTTTCTTTTTGTTGATCAGTATAGTCTCTAATTGTATAGAAACAGTTTTGCATCAGAAAAGATTTTACTTTTAACTTAAATTTGTGTACCGACTTCAAATGTTTAATGTCATCTGGCAGAGCGTTGTAAAGTAACGTACATGTATTATATGTGGATACCTCGCAGCGATCTGTTGATACTGACACTTGATGAATGTGATTTCTACGACGAGTGTTGTATTCTTAAATATCAGTTTGCATGAAAATATGTCTCCACCGTTAGGTAAGTTAGTTGTGACAAATATTACAGATTCGTAAATAAATAGGCAAGGCAATGGTAAGATTCAAGCTCAATGAAGAGAGGCTTGCAGGGATCACGCGGATGGCATTTTGCATTATTCGAATAATTTTATTTTGCAATCTAAAGGGTTGGGTACTTCATGATGAGCTTCCCCAGAACATTATGCCATATCTCAGGCAGGAATGCACATTTGCAAAATACACGCAACGAGCTGCATGAAGGCTGACGGAAGTTGAAAAAATTTTGAATGTTTAATATAATGAACTTAGTTTAGTGTTTAATTCTGTTATATGTACATTCCATTTGAGATGTTAAGAAGTTAATGTATTATCACCTTCTTACATATTGACATCGCCTCAAGCGATGCTCAGAAAAATAAAACTTTAAGGTAGTATGATCGTTACATCGACAGCGGTGAAGTACCTAAAAACACTTTTAAGTAATGTAAAATCTGTTCTTTAAGGCGGTAAGAAACAATTTGTTCCGTATTGATCTACCTTTTTTTATATAAAAGAAGTTAAAATTAGTTAAGGCTGTTATGGAAAATTGTTCGTGGGTTCATGCTTCCAGTTTCCCTGGTCCTTGAGCAAATGCTGAGATGGCCCATTGTTTTGTTTCTGAACATAAATGTCACCAACTAAGCAGAAGCTTTCTTTCGCGACATGTAGGTCAGCACTGGATACCACGTTCTAGCGGGGGAGACAGCTACATCCCGAGATATAAGATGCGCTGCACTTACGGATCTATTTATCCTCGGCTTCGAATAATTGAGTTGACGCGTCTGTAAACAAAAAATAACCAATCAATAAATAGCGGGTCTTTCCAATATGGTTTCTATAGAAATATTTCAAATTATGTCTATTTTCATTTCATAAAACTTCACAATCAGTTGACACCATGAATAAAAATTCGATATTTTGCAGCGGAGAGAAAACCTAACGATGCCTCTTTTACTCCAAATAAACTTTTTGCAATGCCGAGGAACATCGGATGCTTGAATGGTCAGCAATAAAGAATACCAAGTTGATATAAATAAATAGAAAGATAATAACTGTTGCTTCTTGGAAAATAGTGCAAATTTCTATTACAAAGAGCCTTGATTGGCCTTCGAGAAGAGGAGAATTGCATGACCAAAACCACTATGTTTGGAACAAACGATCTTGTGGGTGGTGATGACGCGAATAACATTGTAAATAAATGTTATATTTAAGAAGAAATAAATGATTTTTCTTGGTGGATTTTCTCATTGATGATTCACACTGCAATACACAGAGTACAGAAAATTCACTGAAATACTCAAGGAAGTACAATGCTCCATTATGAATTTACAAGCCATACGACAAAACGTTATCTGAGTGAATCGAAGGGCTTATCTAAGCGGCGAAGGGCGCAGCAGATATGCCCTCAGCAATGTCTTATTGCAATATCCAACGATATGACAATATTGAATAATGGACTTGATAATGTAACCTTCGGGGATGCGCTTATGAATGGTGTGCCTCAAGAAAAGATCAAAAGTGGATGATGTGGCACAAAGCAGTACAGCACAAAGGTGTTTTTGATTTTAATTGTGTCATATCAAACAAACATTTTCTTTTCTCTTAGTTTCCTATTAATGATAAATATTACTATTTCATCTAAAAAATGATATTTCACAGATATATCCATTCTTTATGGGTCATTATTCCCAAGGCGTGGCTCAGCTACTGGATAGGTTGCAGGTGGCGGATCAAGAATGGTCTGTAGATTTACAGACAATGGACAATGAAGCCTAAGGGAAGGAAAACGCTGACAGAAAAATATGTGTAGAGAAAGGTATAGTGAAATGATCCAATAAACTCTCTCCAATACTCCAACTTCTCTCTTTAACTCCAATAATCTCTCTGGGAAAGTAAACCCTATACAAATCCTAGTCTGCGAGATTGGGGGTTGGTCTAAGGCTAATAACACAAACTTTAAAAAGATCACTGTTCAGAAACGTAAGAGTACGCCGGGTAGATAAAGTAATATGATCATGCAATCGTAAAAAGAAACATTACTTATATTTTGGTACTTTTAATGTATTATATCTGAGCAGAACTGGAGATTTAACTAATATTTTGAAAGCCTTAATAACAAATCCCCCTCCATCACTTGCATTGGTTGTACTAGTTCCATACAGATAATACACCC